GGGTTCTCTTGCTGTCATTTTGCAATGTGATGCCTAATGTTTCTTTATTTGTTTACTTTAAATTTATACTATGTACGTTTAAACAAGAAATGCAGTTTGACTGTATTTTATCATAGGAGAGTTTGTTATGATAAAATGTATCAACATTTTTGTGATCCTTTAAATCTTTTGTCTGTGTGTAAGTAAGAATTATACTGTGAGAGGAAGAAGAAAATATGTTGTCTGTATTGTCATGAGACCTGGAGTAGAATGAGATTGAAGTCCCCCCTGGCCGCCTCCACATCATAGCTAAGAGATGTTAAAATTTCTTAATAGTCAGACTTATGTGAGTAAAAGTGATCAAAGTTCTAAAACAGAGCTTCCATCTATTTCTTAATAGTTAAGCATTTTATTCTTAATCAAGATAAAAAAAATACAAATGTAATCAATATATTAATGACAAACATAGTTTTAGTAAGAGAAATAACTGTTTTAATGTCTGAGTTTTGTGGTGAAATGTGTGCTCATGAGCAGCTTCAGCCATGGCAGTTTTGTTTCTAATAACAGGCCTCACCAAGAGTCTGGACCTTGGTGTGTGTTTGTGTTTGTGTGTGTGTGTGTGTGTGTGTGTAGTGCAGGATGGGGGTGAAAGAGACACACTGGAACCACTAATCTCAGAAAGTGTCTGATTACAAAATGTATGATTTAATAAAAGAAGGTTTTTTTTTAATAAATTAAAAAAACAGTTAATTAGCAGAGTTTAAAAAGGTGAAAGAAAGTATTCCTCTGTATTTTAATTGAAAAGAGATTATGTTACAATGAATCTACATGCAAAAATGTGCTAAAAACAAATTCTGCATGTTAAGAATAACAAAGGAAATGTAGTAAATTGAATTTAAGGTTTAAAAGTACAAACTTTGTGTTAAATCATGTAGGTCAGACATGCAGAGAGACATAGAGAGACAGATAAGGTGTGGGTGGACATCGGATGATTAATGTCAACAATTTGACTGGATGTCCAAAATGTGAAGATGTGATGCCCAGCAGGATAGGATGGACAAAGGGTGAGAATTATAAGTATGGGGTGGAAAAGAGATTCTGGGTTCTTCCCTTCTGTGAGATGATCAGTTCAGAAGATTGGATCTAAGAGTTGAAAATTCCAGCAGGGACACTGACTGGGGTAATGGAAATCCAAACAGTGAATTTATTTTGGAATTTGTATCTGCTAAATATCTGCTCAGTTTTGCCTGTTAGATGGTTAATTCAGAAGGATTTTTATTTACATCATACTTTCACTCAATGCCAAGCTGTTTTCCTGTTGCGTGATTATTATCAGTGCATCTTCAGATCTCGTTGTGTTTATTCTGAACAAACTCAGCTTTAGCTCAGAATAGGTTAGTTAGATAAGTATAGTTTAAATGATTTGATTGTTTTGTGACTCTAAGTATTTGATTTTTCTTTTGCTTTGCTCTTGCTAAATTTCTTTAATAAAATATTCTGTAAATAAAGTCTAAATTGTAGACATTCACTTTTTAACCTTTTTTGAAATTGCAATGGTAGTGGTCTGAGTATTATTCTTTATTAGTGCAAATAGCTCTTACAGGTTACCTTGCCAATCAAAGTAGTAGCTGGTGATGACATACCATTTTTCCTTTCCATCGTTGTTGTTTCTCAGGCTGGGGAGTGGACCAGATTTAACTTGCAACACGAATAGGTCTAAGTGTAATGTTCTGATGACTTCTAGTTGATTATAATGTGTTTAATAAGGAAAGAAAGTTACTGTCCATCAACAATCTAAAATGGTTTACTTTTTGCTCACATCTTGATGCATGCTCAATCATCCAGGTAAGTAAATCTCCAAAAGTGGGAGAAATGTTTTGTCACTCATCCAAGTGACTTCTTCAGTCTCAGCTGACTGCAGGTTTCCCCAAATCCTATAAACAGTACATTTGCATAATGACTGAAACCAGCCCACTGAAGGAACAATGGGCTGGGAGGTCAGTTCCTTAATCATAATTATGAAAATTCTCATGACCATTGATCAACAACCACTG